TGACTGTGACCTTACATTCAAAGTTCTGTCTTTTAAACTCTCTGTTCTCTCCCTTCCTCTTCACACCTCACCAGCCCTACCTGGGTGTTAGAGCTCTTACCTTCCTAGTTCTCACTAAGGGACCACACACACTAATGCAGTTAATACAGTCTTAAAGGAATCTCTTACCCTGAAAAACAGAAGACATTTACAGATTAACAGAAGGCAGTCCTTGAGTGCTATCTCTCACATCTAATTTCATTTCACTGTGCTTGTGTCCCCTGTGTTCATTCCTAATTTTGTGTTGTACATCACCACATGGAGGAAAGGAGGGCAGAGAGTTCTTTGCCATCATCCACACAAGGCCCTGTACAACACAGTGGTCAACTTCAGAAGGCTCTTGGGACAGGTTAAGACATTTAGCCACCCAGCTCTAATTGCCCTATTCCAGAGAAACTAACGGTGACCAAAAGCTACCAAAGTTAACACAAATTTTTTGTTCCTGGTTGTGATCTTTTTGCATCTTCTGCTCAAACACTGACACATCTGGAAGTGGACAGAACACTTAGAAGCCTGATGCAAATTCAGGGTGGTGTGTTGACCGTGGCTGGCTGGCTGCCACCCGCCCAGCTGCTCACTCACTCCCCATCCTCAACAGGGCTGGAAGAAAAAAGAAGCACCAGCTCATGAGTTGAGATTAAGACAGGGGGATCACTTACCAGTTACCATCGTGGGCAAAACAGACTCATCTTCTGGGAAAAACTATTTAATTTATTGTAAATTAAAAGAGTGCTGACTAGGGAGAAAAAAAGCCTTCCCCCCCCACACCTCTACTCCCTATGTTTTCCCAGGCTCAATTTCACTCTTGACTCCACTACCTTCCCTGCACCCCAAACAGCTTGGGGGGGGGTGGGGGGTATGGTCAGTCTATAACAGCTTCTCTCTGCTGTTCCTTCCTCCCCCCACTTTAGACAGGTTGCAGCATGGCCTCTCCACAGGCAGCAGGGAAATATCTGCTCCACTGGGGTCTCTCCAGGAGCTGCACGGGAATCTCTGCTCAAATACCTGGAGCACCTCCCCCCTCCCCTCCACCTTCTCTCACTCTAGTGCTCCCATGGCTGTTTCTCACTATTTTTTAGTCCTCACTCCTCACTGCTGGGAAGTGTTTTTTCTCCTTCCAAAATACACTTTCCCCAAGTTGCCACTAGAAGGGTCCGGCCGCCCCCACTGCCACCACGTGGGCACGTAAATCCAGCAGAGTAGCTACAGGGTTTATAAGATCCAGCAGACACACAACTATTCTCTAAATAGGTACGACTATATATTTCTGTGTCTGGTGAGGCTACAATGCCTGTTTGTATTGTACAAGGTACAAGTTTAGATGGCACAAACACAGTGGTTATTACTGAGGAGAATCCAAGGCACAGCAATTAACATTTGCATTGCTCAAACGTTTCAGTCCACGGCAGCAGTTTCCAGGTTTAAGATCTTTTTGGACAAAAGAGTTGAAATGTTCTTATCATACCTTCTAGGATTTAAGGAATGAATCACACTCCTGTGAACTGCCACCTCCAATCAGATCCATCTCACACCAGTGTCTGATCTGTTCTGTTAATATCAACTAGTTCATGTTATGAGGGCACGCAAGCAACCAGCCACAATACAGAATGATAGTTCACCTAACAAACCCTTCCGCTTCCTTTCATGGTCCGCTTAGAAACCTTTGGGAGCGCTACACTTGGAAGCACTGACAGGATTATCTGCCGCGACTGCCTGACTTCTTCTGTACTCCCGTTATGATTCAGTGCCCACGCCACCCTAAGGCAATGATCAGCTCCACAGTATCACTAGATGTTGCACGAAAACGTCCTTGTTTTTCCTTCCATGTTTAACTCCACTGCACTTTATTACATTCTTTTCTTAAATATCCCAGTTAGTCTTAATTTCTCACTCTTACTCATGTCTCCTAGGATTCACTCAGAGAAAGATGGAGATCACTGGCCAAAGGCTCACTCTAAATGCCCCTCCCATGGTTCCAACTTGAACACCCAGCTGACTTTTTTGCAGGCTGCAAGATGAAGAAAATGTCTCCTCCTAGCCACTCCTCAAGTTGTGGATCAACTCCACCTCCTTCCTTAGAGCTTCTGCTGTGATCTGGCACAGATCTCCTCTGTCTCTTCCACAAGAAATTTGATACTGTCAGCAGGTATGTCTTCCTATCCTGCTTCCACCTGAATTCTTTAAAGCCCCAGACAGACATTTTAGAGCTTTTTTTGGCTTCCAACAACCAGCGGGTATATTCTTGTGACAATGCAGCTAGGTTTTCATGATCAAACCCCCCATTGACAAAGATCTGTCGTCTTAGTTCCTGAGTTTTGCTTTTCTCCCCCATTTTATCTTCTGAATTTTGTTCTCTCCTACAGTACATGGATTATTATTTCATTTCTTTTGGTATTTTATCCTCTCTCAGTACACAGTATCATCTTCATTTGTCTTCAGTTTTGTTCTAATATCTCATAATAGCCTGGCTTTCTTTTTCTTTTCCCATTCAACAAATCATCAGCCAGACTGTTGTCCTTGTTCTCCAGCACAGGAAAACTGTCAAGTTTGAAACCCATTTCTCCTCTACCTGTCTTGTTCCTTTCTCTATATTCTGCTGCATTCCTTTGTTTGTGCCCCAGTTACCCATCATCATTTGTTGGCTCTTCACACCTGCAGTTTTCTGTACTGTTTTCTTTTTTCTCTTTTAATATGTTTTTAAAGGCTGGTCAGAATGCCACCCTTACCTCTAATCACACTGCTGGCCTACAAAAACTTTGTTTTGGATTGTCTGTCTCTCAGCTAGCAATTTCTGTTCCTAACTATGCATGCATATTTTTTCCTTCACACATATTCACAGTCTATTTTTCTCCACAGGCAGCCTGAAGTGCTTACTCAGTATTCGTTGCTGTCTACTTCCCCAGCTTCTGGACTTAAAACCTGCCAGTCTTGCTGCCACAGAAACTGTCCTGTTTGCAGGCTTCAAAGCTAATTGAGAGTCCTGTCAGCAATTACAACTGTATTCTTGGTTCAGCTCAGCAGCATTATGTTCAAGCATTGTAAAAGGAGTGCCAGAAACGAACAGATATGACTGTATTTATACTCAAACTGTAACATCACCACTTCGTACAGCCGATGACTCCAATCAATGAATTGGGATCAATAAGGGCATAACTGGAAAAGTCTCAATTTCAGACTCAATGGTAATCATACAACTGTTATAGTTTGTCAAAGCAATGCTTCCAAATCCAGAAGGAAGTCCTTTTTGATGCAGTGCCTCAACATCAGGCACAAGACACAAAATTTAATTCTGCTACTAAAGATGCATGATTTGAGCTATTCCCCAGAATACTACTCAGAAAAGGATAAAACACACAACAAATACATTTGAAGTCACTGCCTTCTCAAACGTGACAAAACACTAGAATCACTTCAACAAGTGAGGAAAAAAGCGTAATTAATACCCCGTTTTCCTTGAAGTGGTGATTCATGGAAAAGGAGACTCTGCAACTCGAATAGAGTTATACAGCAGGTATGTTTACTCCCGCGCCGGGGTGCAAGGGGATCTCTCCACAAAGCTTGCACACCAGCATCACATTTTACCAAAAACTTATAGAGTGTGGATATCCATATTCATTGGGTTACATAACACAAACATACATATGCATGAGTAGGGCTGGGTTAGTTAGAACGATGTTAGTCGTTTATGTCATCTTTGCACCTGGGCATCGCCTCCTGGCAGTCATCTTCGGGGGTCTTTGGGAGGAAGGCTCGTAGTCTTTCTCACCCTGTTTTTTCCATGGAGCATGCACAGATTCTCTTCGCCAATTTCTTGAATAACAAGAGTGTTTTCCAGCTGATTTATTTTTCTGTCTTATCTAAGAGAACCAATAGAACTTCTACCATTCGTCTATGGCTATCTTTAATCATTAGCAAAATTCCAACTTGTTAGAGCCACCTGTTACTCAAGGACAAAAGCATACTATTTTGCTGAACATTCTAATCCTTGGTAGATTTTCACAGTGAACTGCTTTGTTTTGATGAACACAGTAGTCCTTGGTAAAATTCCACAGAACAGGCTGGGCAAGCAGGATTCTTAGCAATATTTAAAAATTACTATAACTTGCTATAAATAAGTTGCTAAGCAGTTTTCTATAAGTAAAAAAGCAAATCTCAAAACAAGTAATCATTTCTCTGTATCAGTGGACTGGAGATTTCAGTGAGTATAAAAATAAAGAGAAGGTAGGAACTTCTACTAAATGTAAAGCTGGCCATCAAGCCCACAAATGACCTTCTGTCCTCTGTACCTAGTTTTACTAGCTTACCAAAACTGCTATTAGACCATTACAGCTAACAGAAAATGGCAAATTGATGAAATGACTTCAAAACTCTGCAGTGTTATCAGAAAGAATCCACATCATACAAAATTTCTACCACAATGGCTATTTAAATTGTTCCTGCAGAAAAAAACTCCGTCAGCATTTCTCCCCATAAAATCTCTCCAGTAAAATAATGATTCTGATGTCTATGAAATAACTATTTTTTTTCTACTGTTTTAAACAATTTTATTAATGAAGAGTTGATAGGAGATGACAAAAGCAGGAACCCCCTTATTTAATAGGGACATTCGCCATGACTAATCATTCAAGAATAAGATGAGCTGGCTATGCATCAACATAAACCCCATTTTGTAAGTAACACCTAACAAAACAGAACCTTTGTTGTCAGAGGAAGATGATGACCTATGATTTTTCACTTGATTTTAGAAAAAGTAAAACAACAGGTTTTAGAATTTTCTTTTTCAGCATGAATTCAGAGACAAACAGTATTTAGATGTATGCATCTAACAAACAACAGGATATATTTTAGCTAAGCTTTTAGCAAAGTTTCAATGCTGGGGGTGGGGTGCAGGTGTTTATCATCATTATTGTTGACAGAAATTAAAAATTCACTCTAAACATATTGAGCTATGTCTTACTTACTGAGAACTATTGAAACATCTGTTTTACTCCTGAACTCCACAACCCAGCAGCGCTCCAGGATTACCACTTCAGAGGCTTCAAAACTCTGCAAGACATAAAGATGACAAAATGTTAGAATTTGGAACCTCACTGGGAAGTCCTTCTGTTTGGCTGTTCACAGTCAATCCAACACGTAGATATACAGACAACAAAGCGCAATAGTCACTGGGCAGATGGATACGGCATTCTTTAATTACTGATCTGTGCCATCCTACTTCAGCTCAATGAGCTATAATGGGAATGAACTATTAGAAGAGACCATGCAGGAAACAGAGTAAAAAGGAACTCAGTAGTTAGGGTTTTTTTTCATAATGTAGGTATTCAAAAGTTTAGGTGCCACCTCATTCCTAAGCAAATCAGGCAAGCCCAGCCTATGCTGACTTCTATATTTACTAATAAGGCTGAATTAAATGTCAAATTCTATTCAAAGAGTAGGATACTTCCAAGCAAATGAAATAACATGTAAACTTACAGGAGGCATTTCTCTTGAATTTTTATTTAAAAGGGATGTCTTTATCATCACTTGAAACTTTGGATGTTGTCTCTAGCTATACAATTCCTATGACATTAATTGATATGGACCTATTGCAGAGTGCAATAAGATACAAATTACCACTATCATTTTTTGTGAGTGCTCTGCAGAGAAGATGCAGACTCTTCTTTTAGTTTAGTAAGTGTGACTCATTTTTCAGAATAGTGAAGCTATTAATCACTCCTTCAGAATTAATCTTTTTTCTCTTAAAACTTTTATTATCCATTTTTTATCTCTAACATCTGGTAGCAAATAACCCTTAGAACATGCACCCATACACTTTCTCATTTCAGGTTCCCAACATGAATGTTGCAGAGCTCATTCTCTACCTCAGTGAGATTCTGCAGGGATTAATGTAAATTCTTATTTTAACATTCCTTCTTCAGGTACTTCTTTATTCCAAGTGTTTCTAAAGATGAAAAATTTTTCATACTGCAGACCAAATTTACCAAAAGACTAAACTTTAGTTCCTCATATTTGACACTTAATAAATGACCCAATAAAAAAGTTCATATTTATAACATCTGCCTTACATATGCAAGTTTTCTTGTCTACCTCTTCCTCTGCATTTATGCCGTGTTATTTGGCCTGCCAGAATCAGAAAACCTTTTTTGCCAAGAGTTTCACATTCATTTTTCAATGGATGACTTGATCCTGCATTTTCTCACAAAAAGAACCTTTACTTACATAATAATGACATTGTTCTTCACAAGCAAAAAAGTGAAAAATTAATAGAGTAAGACTGTAAGACTACAGTAACACTGACAAGTAACAAACAGGTAACATTTCGGAAAGTCTAACAAGGATTTCCCAGAAAAGGTCTATATTTATTCCCTCTCTCACACCTTTTACCACTTAAGTGAATACTCCAAACCCAGTATTAAAGCATAAATCAACACCCAGAGGTGACAAAAGGTTAAAATAAAACAGAGGAGTGGGGGGAAAAAAGCACATGATGTTGTATTGAAATATGCCAGAAGTCAAGGGAGAATGTTTAATAAGCCAAGAAAAAGCAATCAGACTTATTTAGAAACCATTTGTACATTGACTTCTTTGAAATATTATTCAGGCTGGGCTGGGCTAAAAAGGGATATATTGTCCTGTAGACTGAAGAACAGCTAATTGATTGGAAAAGGAAAGGAAAAAAAGTAAGGAAAGTAGCAAACCAGTGCAGTGAGTCTGGGGAGAAATACAAGTGCTACACTGGGAGCTTTTTAATTTATAGAAACCATCAAGTTAAGCATACTTGGTAACCCAGAGCAAATTCTCAGGTGCTATCATGTGAGGCATTCTTTGAGCTTCTACCAGGGAAAGTAAAATACAGGAAGTCTTTATGAGCAACAGCTGAAGTCACCTTGGGAAACTAGGCAATAATAATTAAAACAACAAACAGTTGACTAATTAGAAAGAGTTCTGCACTGCAACGATGCTCATAACTATTTTGATTATTCAGATTTTGAAGCAAGATTTCAACATTGATACAGTCTCCCAGATAACCCTCAATTGAAAAGTAGGTAATGCAGCCCATTCCTTCAAGAGCTGGCAGTCTTTCAGAAAAGCTATGACCAAAAGAAGGGGTTCATTTCAGAAGTTAACAAAGGTCTGAGACAGTTTAACACCCAGCTGTGAGTCTGTGAAAGACTTATATCCAAGACAGTGCAAAAAATACTCAACTCCCCTGCCGATATTCACGGCCCACAGATGAAACGTGCAAACATGACAACTGCCTAGATCTAATGTTTCCTCCAAAACATATGCCTGTAGTAAGTGGAAGCCTGTCAGTATACAAAGACAAGCAACTCCCTGTTGCATGGCTTTCAGACAAGTCAGGTATTCAGAAAGGCTGGGAATGAAGAATAACAGCTTCCATGTAGTTTGCTATAGCTGCCAAGGCTTGATCTTTGGATTTATATATGAAAGACATATGTATAATACAAACAAATTGGCAAATGGTTAGCAAAAAATAACTACCAACAAGAATTTGTATAATCAACAAGAATTTGTATAAGGTTTATCTCACAAAGTAGTTGACATACAACGGTAACTACAAACACTAGAGAGGATGGTTCAGAGTATGTCAAGCTTTCTGCGTTTCAGGACAGCAGATGCTACAGCGTAAGAGCCTCTTTAGAGACAAGTTACTCCACACCTTACACCAGTGAAAGCTGGAGTGAAACAATGCTGCAACTTCTAATTAATCTGAATGCTTTTCCAAGATACACAATCAAGTACAGTGATCAGAGGATACACATTTAATTTTTTCTGTATGTGAGAGGGAACAAGAAGGGAAACAAGAAAAAAAGATGAAAGAGCATAAGGCTTCCAGAAAAGAAGTAGGTGTTGCTGCAAAACATCTCCCACATCCTGACACAAAACTGAAGAACAAGACCTTCAGAATTACTATTATTGCAGACTTTTCATCATTTATATGAGCTATGCTCTGTCTGTCACACAAAAAGCTAACAAGATATTTATTTACAAATGAAATTACAAAATTGTAATCAAGGGCACCATTATGTGTATCTGATAGAGATCAGCTTTGATTTTCAGTGCCTGAACAGATCCAAAATTTCTCTCTTACTTTAAGTGCATAATGTGAGCTTATTTGGACTAGCTATTGTTTTATTTTTCTAATTTTGATTTTAATAAAAGGGTAACTTCCAATGATCTAGCCTTTATGCATGGCAAACAGGATCAAAATCAGATCTGTAGTAATGTGTTACAACCCAACATATTTTTATTTTTTCTTCCTACCACTGGTAATTTTGACTGTTACAAAAAACTTACTGGACCAATCCAAATGCCAAACAACAACTAGACCTTGCACTATTACACCTTCCTTAAAATTCTAACAAATTCTAGAGATCCCACCACCACTCAGATCAGGAAATTGTTTTAACACACTGATTTGAAGAGGGAATTAAAATGATTCATAAATCTAACCTAAATATCCTAGTAAAATTGATAAAGTAGAAAAGTGACCAAAACCAGAAATTAGCAGAAACCATTTCAATTCACTTTGTTAAATGATTGAATGAGCTTTGCTATCAGTATGCTCTTGTAAATCGACAGTACTACTGCACTACTAAATCCACTACTGTCTACTTTAACTGCCACGTGTTTCAAATCAGAGTAGTGAAGATATCCCTGTTTCTGTGGAGTCCAAGCCTAAAACTGAAGAGATAGTCATACCAAAGCATATGAGCAGGTGTCTGCTAACTGCATAGTCAGGCCTGCATAATTGTAGATAGTTCCTTTTAATGTAAAGAAAGCTTAATGCTATTAAACTGGCAACCATCATTCAAGTACCTAGCTTCAGATTCATGAGCAATCTGAAGCATACATTGCATAAAGAAGTTTCCTGATAGAGTAAGATATATTTGGAATTAGAAAGCATAAAAACAAACAAACAAAAAAAACAAAACAAAAAAAAAATTCTACAGCATCAAGGGAAACACACAGTATTTGAAATTACATTGGTACATTATTTCAGTTGTTTCTAACTATCTTCACCAAACTGATAAATTACATTGCGACTAGAATTTGTAACTACTTTATTTCAGACTCCAGCCTGCCATTTTTCTTTGGACTGGGGAGTAAAAGAAACTTTCAAAAAATGAGAGCACTGAAGAACTTTTAAAACTGTTGGAGTGGCACATTTGAGCTATTTTTACATTCCTGTAGATCTGACTTGATGTACCATTGAGGGGGGGGGTGGAAGCATGTCATTATGAAAGGGTTTTACAATAGGAGATTTGTTGCTGGGGGCAGGCAGGGGATATAGAAATCTGCCATTAGCTATATCAAGTCAAGAACTAAACTGACAGTTAAAATTAGAAGTGACATTCCAAGCAATTCCTCTGTGTTAAAACAGTAAGCGGAAAAATAAAGCTATAGCATTGTAGAAAAAACAAATGCCACAAAAAGTAAAAACTAATAAGACAGAAAAAGCCTCCACAGTCAAGTGGGAGTGGTGGTGGGGGGGTGAGGTGTGTGTGTGAATTTCAGTTTATTTTTTTTTAAAGCTTACTTTTGCAAACTTGAAATAACTAAATTGAAATCATTATAGTGTAGAGATGCTACATATACCAATCTACTTGTCATGCTTTTCAAATCATTTTCTGCCTGAATTTGTAAGTATTCCTATAATAATAAAAACAAGGTAAAAGACAGAAGTTTTGTGGAATTATTGTGTGGAATTACCTTGTGGAAAGGTAACAAAACATGACTAAAAAGGATAAAACTATAGTCACACAAAAGTAACACAAAAGACTATGCTAGGAACAAAAAATAAAAAGAAAATACTTTCAAAATGCAAATGATGAGAATTGTTTTCAGTTCTTGCTTGCTATTAAAGAAAATATTGACAATAGATAAATTTGCCTGCAGGGATTGGTAGCAGCTTATCAAATTATTTTGAACCCATATCATCTCTTCCCCCCAAAGTGCAAAGTCATCCCTGTCCAGCACTTACTAGAAGACCTATCTAATGCTTTTGCTGGAAGCCTTAGAAG